GTCGTAATATTACCAAATTAAAGTAGTAATATTACCAAATTAAAGTCATAATATTACAAAATTAAAGTCGTAATATTACGAGAATAAAGTCATAACATTAGGTCTACGAGAATAAGTAACGACTTTATTCTCGTAGACCTAATATTGTGACTTTATGACTTTATTATGACTGTTATTATGCAATATTATGACTTTATTCTCATAATTTCCCCACCCAATTTTTTTTTCTCTTAGTCTGGCCCTAATACTCCGTACTACTACTACTACAGTATAACACAGGACGGCACTATTATATAGCCGCGAATAACAAAAGTGGACCCCGTAGATTAGAGAGGAAGACGGATTCTGATAGCACAGGTGACAGAAAGCGGTGTAACACCTGTTGCTGTAAATATTATTATTAGCGCTCATTTATCGTCTTTTTTTACATGTAGTGATAGATAGCAGTTACTCGGAGTGATATAAATAACTTTTTGTAGCCAGCATTCATTTGGTTAATGTCACGTTCCCACAACATACAGTCGAGGGCGCTGTGAGCCTTTACCGCTGGTGTGTGATCCTACAATAATTAGGAAGAAGAGGAAGATAAAAACTGCAGCTGCTGCCAAACATGGACATAACACCGATGCTGTCAGCTAGCAGAGAGAGTAGAGTCCACCGTGTGAAAGTAGGACGAGCTATTTACTTTTATTTGTGAGCGATAGCCGTTAACAGGAGCACATTGTTTCTTCCCAAGTGACTTAATGAAGTTTTCACCCTGCTTGTAAGCAACAGAGCCGCTGTCTAAGTTGTGAGAGGAAGGAGAAAGTGGAAGGTGGGCGGATAGGGTTGTGAGTTACACTGTTTTAGACTCAGTGTATTGGAGTCAGGAGCTGCTGTAACTTGCCTCTTTGCAAATATGCACGAAATACTAACAAAGCTACTTCTGTCATCCAAAAGGAGCTCAGGAAAGATGTCACTGGAGTGCATTATGACATCTCCTCCACCTCCACCTCCTCCTGCTCTTGGACCACCACCTCCTCCACCTCCACCTCCTCCTGCTCCAGGGCCTCCACCTCCTCCAGCCTCAGCCCCTAAGAAGAAGCTGTATCAGACTATAGCCAGTAGCAGGAGTCCTGTAGAGGGGAACCACACTGAGGCTCGCTTACTGCTCAGTCAGAGGGAGAGCAGGTGAGATTCTCAACGAGCAGACACCCCCACTGTGTGTGTTGGCATATTTTACATAAACATAAAGTCTGCAGTTCCAACAACGGCTTCTTTTCCGCACATGCAACTTGTTTGAAATCCTCCTGAGCCAGGCAATAACTTCCACATCCAGTATCTGGTGCACGTTGTCACGCTTTTCCTCATTACATTACATAGCTGATATCTGTGTCAGATGTTATGCAACTATTGTGATTAATCACCAAAAGGTACATTTTTAATTACAAATGCCAAATATTATTTTTATTCCAGCCTCTCAGCTGTGAGGAGTTATTGCGTTTCTTTGTCTAATGTGTTAGTTAGTTGTTTATTTTCAGGTTTTTGACTGTCAAACCAAAAAGTAATTTAAAGAAGTCACCTAGGGATTTAGGAAATTGTGGTTGTAATATTCTTACCATGATGTTGGAGCGGTTAATCCAGTAATTGAGAATCGTTATTTGCCGCTCTTGTGATGTTGTACTGGATTGCTTTATACTGGAGGGTATTCCTAATATTTTTTCCACCTCATTTACATACATGAAGTCGACAGTATACAACACGACGATATATGTAATCCTGAACCAACACGTACCTCAGAAATTAAACAAAGTGAACATTATAAATCTCACAAAGAAATTATTAAAGGTCTTTTTCATTTCAATTTCATGTCTCCGTTCTATAAGTGTTCAGGACCCTGAAACCAAAGCAGCTAATGAAAGTGAGCCATCATTAATTTATTATTTACTCCTGAGCTTTTCTTACTGTAACAGGAAAATGTCTTAATGTGTGTTAATGTAATAATGTGTATTTATGTTACACTGTGTTTCTGTGCTTCAGTTTTAGGAAGGACCTGCATTGGATACTGGTGAACACATATGTGCCTTCCCTCATCCAAGACGGTCCACAGTAAGTCAGTAAACTCAGTCTAATACTTGTTAAGTCACAACTTGATCTACAGGGACTGGACTGGACTGAGAAAACACTTGCATAACAATAATAAAACTTATTTACCACGACTGCTCTATGTACAATGGGCCTATTGTGTTACTAATTTGCCTTGAATGCTTTTATTGTTTTTTTCTGTTGCCAAGGTGTGACTGAGTTTGTTATTCATTTACTTTTAGGTGTGGTCTGGTGGCTTTGTGGATGTCTGCTCACCTTCGACAGCCACAGCTGAGTATTGACATGGAAACTGTGGTTCAAACAGCATTGAGCAGGGGATACACGGCACAGGGTGAAATGTTCTCAGGTAACAAAAGTGTGTAAACTTTGTTGGGCCAGAAAAAAAAAAAATGGAACAAGAGCAAAGAGCGGCGTGTTTCTGTCATAATGTGTCACCCGTTTCTATTCAGGGGCAGCAGAAATCTTGTGAAAGCACAGCAAAATACATACATTGACTTCACTGAGTGTTGCCAGAAGTGCAAATATGACATTAAACTCTTAGAAACAGATGCTGGGTGTAATTTAAAAAAAGTTGTATAAGCAGGTTTGCAACTGAAATGCAGTTTCACGCTGTGTTGACTTTATTTTGATTTCCTTATGCGCTCATTAAGATTTTTATTTTGTCAGCTGAAAACATGGCCCTGCTGGCAGAGGAGGTTTGTGGCTGTAAGGCAGAACTGCTGTCAGGGGGCTTAAGAGGTAATAATGCTGCTACCATCATCTCACACCTGTGGGGGAGACAGCCTGTTCTCATCCCGTATCCTACACCCAAACTAAACTGCCATGTGACGGAAAATTCATGATTACAGGACAAAATTCCTTGACAGTATGTACAGATATGACGAGGACTACAACCACGAGCCGTGCCAGCGCAGCGGCCACAGGGCGCACTGGGCAGTCGCTTCAGGTAAGACTGGATAGCTCGCTCACGGGAGCGCCGTTTCATAAAAGGTGGTTCAAAAGTAGGTTCATTATGTCTTAATTCATCAAACAAACTGAACTGGGACTGTTTCATGAAGCTGGTTTTGAGCTAATGTGATACATCAAGTGTAGATCAGTTCACAGTGAAGAGATCAGACATGTTAAAACAAAACTATGTTCTGAGGCCACAAATCGAAACATATTAAACAGAGTCAAATCTTAAAGCATTATAACTCACAAAATCATTGCAATAAACAGCAAAAGAGAACGTTTGGCAACATATTGTAGGAGCAGCAAGTTCAGACTGTCAGAAATAGAGATGAACTCAGAGATCAGCTGATCAGTTTATTGTAGCGTTCCGCTCGAATTTATGACATTGTGGGTTCAAGTATTGCTGAAAATTAACATACACGCAAATGTATTAGATGCAACATACTATTAAACAACTCTGATGCATAAAATGGGATCCACAAGACAATAAGATAATCAGCATTATTTAGAAACAAGTTCTGTATCAGTTGACTTATGTTTCTGGTTTGTACAGGTAACATAACAGCCTCCATAGGGTAAAAATACTCTTTAAAGACGTTCAGACTGATCGTCTACCACTTTCTGCATTTGCAGTGTAAATCCAATAAATGCATTTCTGTCAATACGTAACATGAACTTTACATGTACTGGAAACTGGCTCATGTTCACAGTGCAGTAATAAAGGGAAGAAGGGAACCTTTTGGGGGGGGGACAGATTGATTGTTACACTGGTTAAGCCTTAGCCTAAAAACATCAATATGCCACACTGTAACTATGTCTGTTCCTTCTAGGTGTTCTCCTGGGTTTGGAGCCGGGCAGCGTGATCAAAGAGCCCACTCAACCTGATCCCACTCTGCCCTGGCTCTCCCTCGCCGCTGACAGCAGCTCTCAGTGTCCTGTCGGTAGCACAGCAGTCGAAGAGGTTTACATCCTGGCTAAGCAGGGTAAAAGCCTGCGCTACCAGCTGTGGAGTTTGGACAGCGTAGCTCAGAGCAACGAGCAGCTGAAGACAATGGACCCTCAGAGAGCTAATGACGGGAGCCGGTATGTGGTTCCTCAAGGAGGGGTGGAAGCCGGGCTGGCTGGACAGGCTGTGTTGCTCCACACAAGGACACAGGAGCAGGAATGAGTGTGACGCAGGTCTTGGTTGTGTGGAGAACAATGGCTGTCATCTAAGACTCAGAAAACACTTTGATCTGTTGAGTGAACTCTCATGGTGCTATGTTACTGATTCCAGGTCAACACATTTAAAGTTGTGTTTTTACAGTTGTGGGTTAAAGAACAATCTGATGTCTGCCTGACTTCCTCAAGTATTTGAATCAATCCAAAAGGGCTTCAAAGTGTTCAGTAATTATGCTGTGTGCAACAGTTCTGATGTTGTTATGGTTAAATGATGTTACAACAGGAGATTATTTAAATTAGGCATCCACATATTCTGCTACACTGGGGTCATCAAGTCCCTTTAAGTCTCTAGTTTTATCAGACCTGTGCAGAGAGTGGTGTGGGCAACTTGATGCATGTCTTAATACATTATCAAAAATATTGGATTTACAGTGTTGTTGCATCAATATGATGAGAAAAGCTAGTTTTTTTTTTTCATTGGATAAACCAAAAACAGAAATTCTTGTCTGGTTATTTTCAGTTTAACAATCAACAGAAAATACACTTATCAGTGTACATTACTTTTTTTAAAGTTGATAAACTGAATGCAGTTTTTATGGAGAGCATAATTTTTGTCTTGCAGGTTTACAATCTCTTGGTGCTTAATACATCACTGACTGAAAGGAATATATATATATTTATACAACAAATACAATTCTTGATTCATTATTTTGTCATCTTGATTCCCTGCCTGTAAATGTTCTGGGATATTCAGTAAAAGAAATGTTTAAACACTGAAACTAGTGTCAGTTTGAGGTTTACAGAACTGAATAATCTGAGTTTTGTGTGTTTGGAGAAACAAAAAGAACAAAAAACAAACTCCGAAAACTCTTATTTCCAGTTTATTGCAATCCATGACCTGGACAAAGCAGGGAATTAGTAAATTTTTCACCAGTCTGTGTTTTGCAACTTTAAAATACACTGCCTTTTAAAAATACAAAATGTGGTTATGAATCCAGTTTTCTTACTTACAAAGCAGCACCCAGTTTGAAAACCTGATAGTTTGCCATTTTACAAATATAAAGGATTTGTGGGAAATGAAATATAATACTTTGTAAACACTATTATTCCTGTCTCCCAGTAGGTTTACTTTTCAGAAATGAAAGAAAACTGCATGCCTGAATTTGAATTCCAGTATGATGAAGTCAGAGATCTGCAGCTCTCCTATAGAAAATGTGTGTGCTGAGTGAACCGCCTACGCACACACACACCCAAACAGTGCTGTGTGACACTGTTGAGGCATGACAGGAAGAATCAAGACTCTTATGTATACCAACCTGCCAAGTTCCCCGAATGCAGATGACAGATACGGTCATAAGCACTGACTTAATGTCTAAATATAACAATGCTTTTTCTTTGAAAACTCGCAATGTTCCTGGAAACCTCCACTGTATTTAGTGTAGCTAAATAAGGTTTACTGCAGCATCCTCGTGTTTTAAAAGCAATATTCTCGTGTTCAATTATTTGTCACCCCTTGAAGCTTAAGATTCATACACAAAATTTCCAGTTGTGTGAGTTGATACATACGTAAAACCTTACCAAAGGCTTTACAGACTGATCAGTTTAATCAGGTAAATCCAGTTTCATTTCACCCTTGACACCACTGATTCACTGTAAAACTCCCTGCTAATCCAAAGCAACACTGATCAAAGAGAATGAAGTGAGAACAGCAAATTGAATTCATGTTGAACTTCTAAATGTCTGCATCTGTAAACCCAGTACTTGACTGCTGCTTCCCATCTTAAGACACAGAGGCACTGCTTGATTTGTTCAATGGCTTTGTGAGGATCTATAGTGCAACAAATTCCAGACAAACATGGCTGCCAAGCTGCTTACTGTACAGTTAAATGAAAAAATAAAGAAACAAACTTCACTGCATTATCATACAAAAATCCAAATTTAGAAAACACTTTCTACTTGAAGTTAAATTTTGGGATTAGATGCAAATCAGTTTACACTTGGGTGAACTTTTTGGAAGAAAAATAGCACGAGTCCACTACACTGGAATGATCAAACAGCTTTTTCTTTAAAAATGCGAGGCACAGAAATTGTACAAACAAGGTAAAGGAGGTTATATCAAGGCCAAAAAAAACATTAAATAAACTTGTATTTACACACTGAGTTAGTTAACACGTGGTCTGACCAGTGTTTTAGTGTTGCTGTGACATCAAAAGTGGTCCATGACAAAAATAAATCTCCCTTTACCCAATGCTCCTCAATGGCTGTTTAAAAGGGTTTCATATACCTCTGGGTCATGTGAGTGCAAAGAGCTACTCTGACCAACAGAGGGAGACGTTGAGGAGGGAGATGAGCAATGTTAAATACCTTTGCAGGAATAACTGACTGTATCCTCTTAAAACAAGCCACAGTCCATGTGACAAAAGTTACAGTTCTGAATTTAAATTCTCCCTCTTTCTACTTTTTGCCTCAACCCATCGCAGGTCATCTGTACCCAAGTAATGGAGCATAATGCGTGATGTCGGCCTTTGGCATTTTCCACATTGCAATAGAAATCCCAGGATTGTCTTTACCTTCTTCTCACACAGGTGCAGTTGGATAAAGACACTTAGATCATGGCGCGGGTCATGAAAAGTCATCAAACTGGGGGCCCTCTTCTGATGCTTCCTCTGTCAGTTTGTGTTTTCTCCCAATTTTGAATCCCTTCCACCATCTGGACTCAGACTACTGTTTCACTGCAGTCTTCTGAGTCTCCCTCTCAAGGCGTCTGCGGGAGCATACTGCTAAAGATGTCTATGAGGTTGTCCAGTCCCCACAGGTAGCCGTCCTCCCTGTTGCCCTCCACCCAGGGAGTCCTGTGGTCCAGGGTCCGAGGGGTCGACAGGGGAACCGTCTTTCCAAAGTCGATCATCCACACTCTGGCCTTCCCCGAGGCGTCGTGCACAAACAGCAGCGAGCTGCCCACGACCTGCGATGGAGAAACCAGTGAGACGGGTAAGTTTAGGTGTGTGAGCGTTTCAACAGAGAGGCTAATGAAAGGATGATATCACAAATGTTCAACTCAGCCGATAGGTTTGTTTAGAAATCCTGAAGAGCGGGTGTCGGTTTGTCTCACCTCGTGTGTCCTGAAGAAGTTTGACTGCTCCAGGACTGATCGAAGTTCCTCCAACCGCTGCAGGTAGAGTTTCTAAGAAGAGCAGAAGAGAAGTTACAAAACAAGAAATACCTTTTTTGTACTTCTTAACCGTGAGTCTAAAACCTTATGTTCTTCCTTGATGCACAGTAGTTTGATCTGCTCTAACGCTCAGTAATTACCACTTTATATCTATATCTTGGATGTTTTACCTTTGGACATTATGCTAAGCTAAACTAACCTTCCTATGTACTGTACAGGCATGTGAGTGGTATGAATTGTCTAATCTAACTCTCAGGTAAAAACTTAAATGAGCATATATCTCAAACAAACAATTTCCTTGAAACAACAAAAACAGCAGTGAATAACGAACGTACCAGAATCTGAGTGTTGCCACCTACAAAGTCCTCCAAGGCCTGCATCACCTGCTCCCTGTGTTTTGTCTTCTTAAAGTTGGTGTTACAAGTTCCATCAGCCTTCTGTAGAAAGAAAGAAAACATAAGATGTGTTGTTCTTCTCTCCCTTTATTATTAAATTTGTATAATTTTCTGACCTGCATGAGGACAATAATTCAATTCAGTAATTCGTTTAAAGCTTCCTGATTCATTCCAGCTGCTAGCTCTTTTATTACCTGCTGAGTATTCAGTGCAGTAGCATCAGGACAAATACATGTTCTAATTTTGTGTTTTGCTAAAGATAATATAAACAAATATTGTTAAAATATATAAATAGGACTTTCACTACCAAAGCTGGACTGCTTATACCTGTTTGACTGGAAAATAAAGCCACAGTCAGCTGCTTTAAATGCTGAGTATGTCATCCGATATTTTTTATTTATGTCTAAGTAATATGCAAATCTTCAGTTATTGGTACGCCCTGATAACCTGCCCTGGATTTAATTTGGAAAGAACAAACAGTCCTCTTCATAGCTGCACATCCAGCCAAAAACTTTAAGCCTCTTCCATTTCCACTCCAGCATGTGTGGTCTATCCGGTGAATATGCTGATAAATATTTACTCCCACTGATTTACTTCTTGTAGAAACTGTGTTTCCTCACTAGCACGGAGCACTACAGCCAGGAATGGCTGGATGTCTAGGGTGACCTCTGACCTTAATGCCTTCGATGCGGAAGCCCAGGGTGGCTGTGGAGCTGAGTGTCTCCCTCCACTGCATGTATCTGGGTTTCAGGACTCCCTGCTGGGCCCTCTCCTGCTCTGTGGGGGCTCCGGGGTCCACCGCCACCATCTTGTCATACATGTCCTTACGCAAACGTGGACGCTCTCTGGCTTTCATCAGCTCCTCCTCCAAGTACGTCCTGGAAAAAAAGGCTAACTATTACATTTTGGAAAGATAAAGTTTCTTCTTAATGTATTTTAACACTTCACTATTTTAATCTGATTTTTACTTGATTTTATGTCTCATGTCCTGTCATTTTCTAATAGTTTTACTGCTCTTTTAATCCTGTGAAGCACTATGTTGAATGCAAATACAGTCACTATTATATAAACACGAGAGAAAGGTGGAAAACTGGTGGGAGTAGACTGTGTTAAGGCTGTTTTCAAGGCTCACTGCGCCTCCCAAAAGCAAAAGATAAGCTCTGATAAAATGGTTTCTGTTGTATAAATGGTCTGGGAAAATGTTGTTTTCTTCATGCTGGACTTGATTTTTACCTGCTGCCCATCTTACAGTCCATGATGGAGGGTGAGTCGAAGTCAGCCAGCAGGTCATCCATCAGGTTATAGTCCTGCTCGTCTCTCTGTACGACACCATAATAACCAGGCACATAGGGGCGCAGAGTGTCCTTCATCAGCTTCTGTAGGCACTGCTGCTCACACTCACAGTATCGCTTCAATAAGCGTCCGAACTCCCCGGCCTGGAAGTTACCTTGAAGCAGACACACAGAATGAAGATTAAAGACTGAAGATAATATAATGCATTTTTAGGAATGTTGTGCACAGTTATGTATATTTGTGCACACCTGCATGGCCAGCCAGCTGCACCCATGGGTAACGCTTCTTGAAGGACACGACGAAAGGGGACCAGTGAACCATGGTCTTCAATTTCTGCCAGGACTTATTCTGGAAAAAGAAAAACAGCAAAGAACGTCATCATTTTGTTAGAAAAAGGCGTGGGTCGTCACACGAATGACAAATCTGAAGCTCTTAATCAGCGTGAGGGTTTCTTTTCTGCTCCGACAGAGCAGGGAGCTAAATACCAGCCAATGGAGTGATTATTCATTAAAAGAAAACACACCCTGTAGTGCGGACTAGTTAACACACACACCTCAGTAGACATTGGACAGATCCTCCCCTTCAGCCAAGGCCAGGTGCACAACGTACGTGACACAAAGCCCATTCATAAAACATTTACCAAAGCCACCACTGTGGTGTCGTAAAACAGAACCTTACTGTCTGTAACTGTGTGTGTGTGTGTGTGTAATGGTTATCTAGTTGGGAAACACCATTGCAAGGACGGTGTGCAACAGGGTCTCTGACGCAAGCAATCTGAGAAGAACATGACATCAATTGATTAGAACATTTTTGTGTGGGAAATCACAACAAACGGACAGCCCGTTCAGGATGTGGGTGTGTGTGTGTGTGTGTGTGACATTACTGATAGGCAAATAATATCGTTGAATATTATTAATTTGCTGTCTTTATAATCATTCCTACAATGTTTTCTTTATATTAACCACATGCAAAAACACGTTTAACACAGAATCAGTTATGATAAAAAAAAGATTGAGAGTGTGACAGAGGCAAAAATGCGTCTGTCACAATAATAAAATTCCAGGACAAGAGGCTATAATAATAAAACTAATCTTTTTATTACTAAATAACATCTGTGAATGACTGTGCTGCTCCCTGCCTGTCCTATCTCTGCCATGTTTACATGTCAGCCGATCTGCTATCATCACATGCATTCTTTCCACAGCTGCTCTGTTGAAACTCTGTCACAATAAAACAGTCTTAATGCAGGAACACACACACACACAC